TTTGAATATGAATGGCCCTCTCGGCAATTTAATATGAATGGCTTTCTCGGCAGTTTGAATATGCATGGCCCTCTCGGATGTTTGAATATGAATGGCCCTCTCGGCGTTTGAATACAATGGCCTTCTTGGCATTTGAATATGAATGGCTCTCTCGGCAGTTTGAATATGAATGGCCCTCTTGGCTTTTGAATATGATGGCCCTGTCGGCAATTTAATATGAATGGCCTTCTCGGCAGTTTGAATATGCATGGCCTTCTTGGCATTTGAATATGAATGTCTCTCTCGGTATTTTGAATATGAATGTCCCTCTCGGCGTTTGAATACAATGGTCTTTTTAGCATTTGAATATGAATGACCCTCTCGGCAGTTTGAATATGAATGGTCCTCTCGGCGTTTGAATACAATGGATTTGATTGTGAATGTTGTATTCTTTGGTCAAGTAGATATGTTTCACTCATGATCAGATATTTGCTGATAGGCTCTCCCGAAATAGTTGGTTGATAAATATATTATCTTTGATGATCTTATTTATTCCTGCATCCACAAAAACATGTTAGTTTTGGAACACTGATCTGTGTTGATTTCTTTCAATCGTCTTCCTTCTTATCTTGCTATCTTTGGAAGTTTGGTTGACCCTACGAATCGCTATAGACAAAAGACAAGATCATATTTAAATTAAAACACTTGTTATGTATGAAGTTTTTAGAAAAATAGTTTTAAAGAAAAACTCTGCCAATTAATCGTCACGACATGCACGACACAAACAAAACCCTTTGTCTCAGATTCTGTCATGATAGGTATCTTTTTGGAATTTCAGAACCCATTGTAAATATGTCATATTGAAGTACTTGAAGTTGACTCTGACGTTCCGAGTACCCTTGATGGAATTTTTGAGGCCTTCCTCAAAAATTATGTCCCAGTTAAATGTTTTAAAAGAAATTTGATGGTAATCACGAAGGTCATGATATCTTGCAATTTCTGGATATTTCCTCAAAATCATACCCTAATAGGATATTTTAATATGATCTTTGACCCTTGTTTATAAGAAAGAACTCTTCGTGTAGAATTTTTGAGATCCTCTCAAAAATTCTGTCCTAGTTTCCATTATGAAGGGAAATGGAAATCTTATTGGGAATATGTCCGAACCCTTGTGGCACCTACGTATCCCGTTGATGCAGGAATCAGGTCAAACGTAGTTCCCCTATCGATGGTTAACATGAATAAGAAATTTTGATAAGAAAATGACCGAGGCCGACATAGGCCGCCTACGTATCTCGTTTTTGAGAATTCAGGTCGAACGTAGTTTAAGTACAAAAGGAATGTCCCAAAGATTAAAGTGACATTGATTACGAACAATTTGCGATTACAAGGAAATAAAGGAAAGAAATAACATTCTTCAAATGTAATATCTCTTGACGGCATCTGAATTGATAGCTTTTCTCCATACTCTACCGTCCATCTCTGCTAGGACCAAAGCTCCTCTTGACAGTACTTTGTGGACAATATACGGTCCTTGCCAGTTAGGTGCAAATTTTCCTTTATATTTATCTTGATGAGGGAAAATGCGCTTCAACACCAATTAACCTACCTCAAATGTTCGAACTCTTACTTTCTTGTTGAAAGCATCGCTCAATCCAACTTCCTGAATAATCCTCAAAGACGGTATCTCAACTTCAGCCGATATCACTACCTCTATTCCGTATACTAACAAATACGGGTTGCTCCTGTTGAAGTTCGAATTGTGGTGCGATAACCTAGCAAGGCATAAGGCAAATTTTCATGCCAACATTTGTAGTTGTCAATCATCTTTCTCAATATCCACTTGATGTTCTTATTGGCAGCTTCCACAGCTCCATTCATTTGAGGACGATATACAGTTGAATTACGGTGGGTAATTTTGAATTGTTCACATATCTCTTTTATCAAGCGACTTTTAAGATTTGCACCATTGTCCGTGATGAGAGACTCGGGAACTCCAAAATGACATATCAAATTATTGCGAACAAAATCAGTCACAACTTTCTTCGTCACAACTTTATAGGAAGCAGGCGACCAAAATAAACCTATGACCAGTGGAGGCAACATGCTCAATTGGTCCAATAACATCCACGTCCCATGCTGCAAATGGCCAAGGAGAACTCATTACATTGAGCTCGTGAGGAGGTACTTTGATCAGATCTCCATGTACCTGACATTTATGACATCTTTGGACAAATCGAGCACAATCATTTTCCATAGTCATCCAGAAGTATCCTGCCCTTAAGATTTTCTTTGCTAATGTAAACCCATTCATATGCGTCCCACACACTCCAGCGTGCACTTCTTCAAGCAATTTTGTGGCTTCTACAGCTTCCACACATCGTAGTTATCCCAGATTAGGAGTTCTCCTATAAAGAATCTCCCCATTCAAAAAGAAGTTGTTTGTCATTCTTCGTATTGTTTTCTTTTGGCTGCTTGTTGCTTTTTCAGGGTATCGCCAGCTTCTAAGTACCTTTTCACATCGATATACCATGGATTTCCATCCGATTCCTTTTCCACATGTAAACAATGCGCTGGTTGTTCTTTTAAACCTATATCAAGTGGGTCAATGTAACTCTTTTCTGGGTGTTGTATCATGGAGGATATGGTCGCGAGAGCATCAACAAACTCGTTTTGTATTCTCGGGGTGTGTCTGAACTCAGTCTTCCTAAATATTTTACATAACTTCCGTACCAGTTGTACGTAAGGTAAGATTTTAGGATTCTTCACGGCCCATTCTCCTTGAACTTGATAATCAACAAGTCTGAATCACCAATTATCATTAATTCTTGAATATTCATGTCAAGAGCCATTCTGATGCCAAGAATACAAGTTTCGTACTCAGCCATCTTATTAGTGCATCGAAATCTAAGCTTCGCTGTTGCTGGAAAATGTTGTCCTGATTCAGATATCAATACTGCTCCAATTCCTGATCCTCTAGAGTTAAGTGCTCCATCAAAGAACATTCTCCAACCAGGATATGATTCTGATATGTCTTCCCCTACAAACAATACTTCTTCATCAGGGAAATACGTTTTAAGTGGTTCATATCCTTCATCTACTGGGTTTTCAGCAAGGTGTCGGCCAAGGCTTGGCCCTTGATTGCTTTCTAAGTCATGTATACAATGTCAAACTCACTCAACAACATTTGCCATTTTGCTAGCTTTCCTGTGGGCATTGGCTTCTGAAATATGTGCTTGAGTAGGTCCATTCTTGAAATAAATGTGTTCTATAAGACGACAGATAATGTCTCAATTTTTGAGCAACCCAAGTCAAAGCACAACAAGTTCTCTCTAAGAGGGTATAACGAGCCTCATACGATGTGAACTTCTTGCTCAAGTAGTATGTAGCTCTCTCCTTTCTTCCAGTTTCATCATGTTGTCCCAACACACACCCAAATGAGTTGTCAGAGACGGATAAATACAATAACAAAGGACTACCCGCGCGTGGTGGCACCAATACTGGCGGATTTGAAAGGTAACTTTTGATAGTGTCAAAAGCCTTCTGGCATTCTTCGGTACACTTGGTTGGCGCATTCTTTCGTAACAACTTGAATATGGATTCACAGATCACCGTTGATTGGGATACGAATCGACTGATGTAATACAGTCTCCCAAGAAAACTCATTACTTCCTTCTTAGTCTTTGGAGGAGGAAAGTCTTGAATTGTCTTGATCTTGAAAGGATCAAGCTCGATACCTCTTCTACTAACTATGAAACCGAGTAACTTCCCTGCAGGTACTCCAAATGCACATTTGGCTGGGTTCAACTTCAAATCATACCTACGTAACATGTCAAAGAACTTTTCCAAGTGCGTCAGATGATCTGAACTCTCGCGTGATTTTATGATGACATCATCCACATACACCTCAATTTCTTTGTGGATCATATCATGGAATATGGTGGTCATAGCTCTCATGTAAGTGGGTCCAGCATTCTTGAGGCCAAACGACATCACTCGATAATGGTAGACTCCCCTAGGGGGTGATGAATGTTGTTTTCTTTGCATCTTCTTCATCCATTAAGATCTGGTGCTATCGCGCAAAACAATCCACGAAAGATTGCAACTCATGCTTAGCACAATTATCAATGAGTATATGGATGTTTGGCAACGGGAAATTGTCTTTTGGACTTGCTTTGTTGAGATCCCGATTATCCACGCATATCCTAATCTTTCCATCTTTCTTCGCTACTGGAACAATGTTAGACAACCAAGTGGGATACTTAATCACTTCGACGACCTTCGATTTGATCTGTTTCATAACCTCTTTCTTTATTCTTAAACTCAGATCAGGTTTGAACTTTCTGGTTTTCTTCATTACCGGACAATACTCTGAATTGATAGGCAACATATGGGAAACAATATCAGTGCTTAATCTTGGCATATCATCATAAGACCAGGCAAACACATCGATGTATTATTTGAGCAGCTCGACCAATTTTTCCTTTTGTATTGCTGTCAAATGGATACTGACTCGGGTTTCTCTAACCGACTCGTCATCTCCTAAGTTGACTATCTCTGTGTCATCCAAGTTGGGATTTTTATTATCTGCAAGGTTCCTCAAGCATCATAGTTTCCTCATTTTATTCTTCACTTTCATCTTCATTGACTTTACTTAGTTCACCGTGTTCGTGACATGTCATGACTTTGGAAAGTTTAGATTCATTTTTACTGAAAAGAAATTAAAGCAATCATATTAGATAGAAAGAATTTAAATGTATATTGGAAAGTAATTTCCAAAGGCAATATAAAAAATAAATGAGGCTTTTCTATGGAAAAAAGGCGTACAAACTTTGATCATGACTCATGTCAACGTGAGTCATTTCCTTTTTAAACATTATGATGAAAATAAAGTGACATAAAAGGTTGTTTCGGGCCTCGTTCGAACTACACCGATTTTCAAAAGTAAAACTTCAAATCTTGTCTTTGTCTACCAAGCAATTCGATGAATCATAAGTGGAGTGGCCACCCAATTCTGTAGCATCTCTTCAGGTTTTGCATCTTGAATGGTGGGTGTCACAGTGCATTCTTCCAAGATCACATCACAATCTCATTCATCAAACATTCGTCCCATCCCTTCCACTAGACCATCACTCTCGGACTCTAAATCTTTAGCAACAAATAACTGGTACAATTCTGGAATAGGCTTTGGTATATCAAGGCCATGTTTCTTCCTTGCTTCTGCTTCGAATAATTCCTCCTTTGTTGCGGTATAACCAACGCAAAGTGGAAATTTTAAAGTGGGATAAGAAGAGGTTCGGATATGCCATCCAAATTCTTGCCCAACCCATGTGCAAGCTCAAAACCGCTTCTTAGCATGGTTGTGGCAAGCATTTTATACACTGACGACATTGGTGTTTGCGGTGTTATATCTTAAAAAGCAGCATTCATTATCTCCACCATGTGAAAGTCAGTACCTTGAGATGAATCGTCAATAACGGGAACAGAGAATCCAGGGTAACTACGATTACTCCCTTCACCATGAATGACAATTTCATGGTCCTCCTAGATGAACTTCAAGATTTGATGCAATGTGGATGGAACTGCTCCGACCGCATGGATCCATGGTCTTCCTAGCAACATATTGTAGCTTGTGGATATACCCATCACTTGGAATTTAGTGACAAGTTCTGCAGGCCCCATTTGGATACACAAGTCTACCTCCCCCATGGTCTGTCTTTGCGAACCATCAAACGTCCTTACATTCATGCAACTTTGACGGATTTTTCCAACATCATGATTTAGCTGAGTAAGGGTTGATAACGGGCAAATATTGAGTCCTGAACCATTATCAATCAATACTCGAGCTACAAACTTGTCCCTACATTTGACAGTGATATACAAGGCACGGTTGTGCATCATTCCCTCAATTGGTAACTCCTCTTCTCGAAAAGAGATTTGGTGACTTCCAATGACATGACTAACCATAGTTGCTAGATTATCACCACTTGTTCCCGTCGGTACATATGCTTCATCGAGTACCTTCAACAATGCTTTTCGATGGTACTCAGAACTCATCAATAGAGCCTAAATAGAAATTTGAGCAGGAGTTTTCTCAAATGCTTGACAATGGAATACTCCTTAGGCTGCATTTTGTGGGCCTTTTTTGGTTCTCCTTTCGTCGTGTTTCTTGAGCTAACTCTTCCCAAACATAGCATCTTCCAGAACGTGTCATCCCTTGAGCTGTAGCTCCTGGACAATGAACTTTTCTTTGGGCTGCTCGTTGTTTTTTTTCTTTGCCAAAGCAAATACCTGATGAGGTGTAGTTATTACAACAAACTCTGGATGAACCTTTATGGTCAAAGAGGCCACTGTTGGTATGAGTGAGTTAGCATTTGTTTTACCGACGGTCCCATTAGTGAGCCAATCTTCGTCACTTTCAATCATATTGATGGTCGCTTCCCCATATTTCATAATGGGTTAAGATTCACATTGGGGGAAGGGGCCTGAAGAGTGATGACTCTATTATCAATCAAATCTTAATTCTTATGTTTTAAATTGATACACCCTTCTGTATCATGTCCTGCTCCTCCAGAATGGTAAGCGCATCGTTGATCCGCTCGAAAGAACTTTGTTGTGAGATTAACTGTCCTTGCGTCTACTGGTTGGATCAATCCAGTTGCTCTTAAACGCTTAAAGAGTTGGGTACGTGTTTCTGCCAAAGGAGTGAAAACTCTGGGAGGCTTTCTTTCTAGGTTAGGGCGGGGTAAATTATTGGTATTTGGGTTATTTTGTCCAGGACTTTGGTAGGCTGGTACATTGGCTTGGTGATTTGGTGGTGTATTTTGATAAGTTGGTAGTTGATTTTGGTAAATAGGTGGTGATGTTTGGTAGTTCTATGGTGATGGTTGGTAGTTCTGTTGTGCATAGTAGATTGGAAGTGGAGCTTGTCGAGGTGGTTGGTAATTATTAACGGTGGAGAATCGGTTGGTGTTTCCAATGGCAGAACCAGACCCAAAATACCTTTGTGGCCTTGACCTTGGGCTAAAAGATACAACAGAGACATCCTCTTTCTTTTTCCTAGCAAATCCATCAGCCATGGATGGTTAGGATTTGTTGGCGGCCTGCAAAGCAGTGAGACTTGTAACCTTCCCAGATTTGAGTCCATCCTATATGGCTTCTCCCATTTAGATCAGCTCCGAAAACTTTTGTCCCATCATGGGCAACATCCTTTCATAATACTTGGGCTCTTGAGCTCGAATAAAATCAGAGGTTATTTCACTTTCAGTCATCACAGTTTGTACCTTTGCAGCTTCTTTCCTCCAACGACACGCA